TTATATGAATCACAGACACTCTGTAAACTGCAATGGGATGTCCCGGGTCTGTTAAAAAGGAGCTGAAAGACTCATAGTGTGTGGCTCTACCTCAGGTTTGCTCCAGTTGAAGCAGTTGTGTTTGAAGTGCTTCACTGCCGCCTTGTAGCACTGATGCTGGGAGAGGTCAGCTCTGCTGTTTACCATGTCATTGGCTTTGAACGTGTTGCCGACGACTCTCTCGACCACTTTGCGCATTGTGTCGGCCATCATGTCCCTGAGCTACACAGACAAAGGTTCACACACTCTTTAATGGTAAATTGTCATCAAATGGATTTTCAGTGTACTGGCACACTGCCACAAACATTACAAAGCTTTGTCAGTCTTTACCTTGAGGTGGGCACTGATCTCCATGAGCAGGCCCCGTGCCACACTGATGTCATTGGAGGCCATCATTTTCCTCTTCAGGATGGCCAGAGGAACGTCAGGGCTCGGGGTCAGATCCAGGTTTGTAATTGGTGGCAGGTTCATCGGAGCTGGACTGTCTGCCTTGTGATTACCCTGAAACTGTATAACTTTCATGTGGGCCAAAGTCTGTAGAGAAAGATGTACAAGCGTTAAAACAGAAGGAGGAAACAAACTTTGTTTTTTTTTCACTCACATACATGAACACATTCTGCAAGTCATTCCAACTTTAAACTAAACACTACTTCCCCCTCAAATTTCTTTAGTCTAGAACTGACAAGTGCTCATTGAAGCATTTCGTTCACAGTTTGCACAGCCTTCTTGCTCTCACCTTGTTTCCGTACTGCTGGACGTGGCTCGTGTCTGTGTGGTTCTTCACAATCTTAAACTGCTGTAGCAATGTTTCTTTTCTCAGATCCTCCTGGATGCACAAAGACAGAAAAAAAACGTGAATGTGATAAAATGCTTCCAAAATAACAGTCACATGAAGAGTCAGTGAATTCGTTCCGTAAAATAATGTGTGGCAGTTTGACTGTCTCATGGTCAGGTTTCTGTTCTACTGTTACACACTTATGCAAAGTACTCGGGGCTGGTTAAAGACAAAAGTTCTGCTGCTACGTTTGGAGACGTTTATCACTTCCTTTTCCTGCCAATCTTAGATGTTAACCGTTTCTTCCTTTTTCATTCTCTCAGTGGATTCATGTTTCTGGATTAAATCTACATCTACACCATAATCCGATGTGCACCTCTCCCTGCAGCCTGAAGTCTAAACATTATAAGATGTGTTAAAGCCACCACACAAGATACTCTGAAGTTCAGAGTCACAATATAACAGACAACAATTACATTTTTCTTTTTAAAATATTTTTCAAAAATGAATAAATATTAGAAGCTGTGATTTGGACACAAACGAGGAAGATAATCACACACCACATCAGAGTCCTCCATCCAATTCACGCTGTACCAGTCACCCAGGTAGGTGTCCCGTTTCTCATCATAGTAGCAGGCATAAGAGGACTCCTCAGCGTTGGCTGCTGTGGTGGCATACACTGAAGAATACACAGAGATTCTCATGTTAGGAGACTTTAGTTTTACACTAGGCAGATCTAAAGGTCGCTCGCTAATCTGTTCAACAGCCTCAGAAAAATCTGAAGGTTGTAACTGAAGATCTAAACACAAATTTCAGTAACTGCTTTACACTTGGACACATCAAAAACAGACATTCATTGAAAACAATCAAAGAAGAATCTTGATCAATGTCATGTGCAGGTCCGGTTCTGTTTATCACTTGATGTCCGACACAGTAACTGTGCTTAAAGATGACCACAAGCTGGGCAGCTGACCTCAGCATTTAATGGATTCTTACAAAAGACTAAAAGTCAAAAGCAGAAGTCCTCAAACCACGGACCTGACATCTGTCTAGTCAACATAACATGAAGCGTAACGCACGGCTGATTTAAAAAAAAAAAAAAAAAATTAAAACATGAAAAATAAAAATCACATGATCCTAGTCTGATGCCATCAAAAGCATAGACCAGCATCAGTTTCGCTCTCATCACTTGATGCTGGTTCATCATTTTTTTTTTTTTTTTTTTTACAGGAAAGTAATTCTGCTGATAAAGTTCAACTCACCATCAACGTCAGTAGGCAGGTGGTTCATCATTGACCCGGACTCACATGCTTCAATGTAGAACACCATCTATGTGTGTGTGTGTGTGTGTGTGTGTGTGGACCAAACACAAATGTTATGACCTTACACATCAGCACAGCTACAACACAGTAGCTACAGCTACTTGTACGGTACATATCAAACATCACATCACCTTTTTGTATTTCTTGTTGTCGTGCATGTATGTAATGGCTGCTTGAAGGTCTTCAACATGGAGCTGCAGACAGAGAGGTGACAAATTTGCATTAACCACAATTATACACTACTGTTTCTTAGAGCACCGTGATGGCATGCACTGCAAACATAAAAACTGATTTATCAGCAAATTAGGAGATATGTAAGGTCCCAAAACACGGTTAGTTTACTTGGTGAGGATGTCTTCCTGGTTTGACAAGTTAAACACTAACAATGCTGATTGCAATGATAAGGTTAATGTTCAAATTGTGTTAACCATTTGTGTTTGACCTCAATGCGGCAACTGTTATCTTTTCATAATATTCCATCTAATAATTAGATATTTCACCAAATTGCAAAAATTGCAAAAAACAAAAAAACAAAAAAACCCAACCCAGACATATCAAAGTGATTGTGAAGCAATAAGGCTCTTTGTGAATCTGGTGTAACCTGTCTGTGGTTGTTGCAGTGCCAGGAAGTTAAAAAAAAACAAAAAGGTACTCACCTCATCGGCGGGAAATGCCAGAATACCAGGTGCTCCGTGATCGGTGAAGTAAACAAACACATGATCATTGGGTCCACTGCCAGGAAAATGAGAACAAAGTTAACAGGGACAAAAAAAAAAAAAAAAGTATATAAACCAGATTTATTGTTGTTTGGCCACGCGCTCGTTACTTCCTGTCTTTTTTAACCACTTACCTCTTCAGCACTTTTCCAGAGCCACCTTTGACTTTTGAGGCATCACCCTTCAACACTGCCAGGAAGTTTTCTGGGGTAACATCCTGCAATAACAGACACATCAACCCACAAAGTTTGCTTTCAGCAGAGAAGCCTCTTCAAACAATCGTCTGGAAAATATTGAAATCAGTTGATCTTTTATAGAAATGCACTGAAGCACTCACTTCCCCGATGTAGTCTTTAGGAACTCCCTTGTACACATCACTGCCATTTGGTCTATTGATCAGTATCCCA